TTTTCTAAAGAAACATTCGCCTTTGAAAAGGTCTATTTTCGAAAATTACGTCAGATATGCTTATTTCGTTCTGTATCGTTTCCGAGATGACAACGCGTGTTTGTGTGCCTCTGTAGCACAGCCAGTACCTTGAAAATATTTTTCCAACATCCCAAAATCACCCCCATAACGTTAGATTTGTCATAGTAGCACATACGGAATCATTCATAATCCAGTCAAACATTTTTTCTATTATGTTAATAGTTAAAAATTAAATAGTAATAAGTAGTGAAAAGTTATTAAATAAATAGTAATATTTAATAATTAATTCCTCCACATGTATCAATGAGTCGGAATAACGGATACATATCTTAAAATCCAAAGAATGCCCATTTTACTAACAGTTGGTCTCGCTTTGTTTGCATCGCTAATATTGCCCACGTTGATTTCATGGCTTGATTATGTGAATCTTTTTTTCTTTGTTGTTATTAACATGCACCAAAATGAAGAAGCATAACATTATACTACTGGTCATCTTGTTCGCAATCAAGGTTTTCTTGTTGATGCCAATGATAGGCTTGTCTCTGATAACCCTTAAGGCCTTTTTCTTCAGCAAGTTAGCCCTGTTGTCCGGCGTTGTCATAGCGTTCCAAAAATTCATCAATAATAATAATGATAGTGCCAGCGGCAGTTTTTTTAACAAGGATTCGCAGTACTTGTACAACAACGATGATGCCACGGACTGGATACCCAATAATTCAAACCAAGTTACCTTCGAAAACAAAGAAAGAGTGACTACGTATGACTACGCGAGGGCGAACGATAACTATGATGCCCACGATCTGGCATATGCCAACTACGCAAGGAGCCACAAAAATGCTAATTAAGTGCAACTCTTCATTCGATCCTCCGTGCCGAGCTGCCGGCAAGAAGAGGAAGTCGGAAGGACCTGCGAATATCCGACAGCCATACGCCGCGAAGCAGAAAAGCTCCTCGGCTTTGGAAGCCATTGGACCCACCTACGACTGTTAGATTAGTATCTATTATTACACGTATGTAATTTATCGAATTATAGAAAAGTATTAACTATTGAGAACGAAAGTAAAATAAAAGTGTTTAATACATCAAGAGAACGTATACCGAGAAGGAATAAACGATAAGAGATATTTATTTGATGGGTTCTAATAGCATATTTACTTGCATCCAAATTCTTTTATTTGAATAGTACACTGAGAAAAATTATCCGATAAAAAATTAACAAACAGATGTTTCCGACGAAAATACCGATGAATTTTTATATCCGATCAGGATATCTGATTAAATTTATTATAAAATTTCATCAGATAAACCGATCAATAAATTATAACCCGATGTTTCTCATCAAATATTTTCTGCCCGGATACAAAAATTTATCGATATTTTGATCGGAAATATCCTTTTGTTAATTTCTTTTCTCAGTGGATAAATTGCTCTCGTGAATAATTTTTCTCAGTGGATAAATTGCTTTTATGAAGAGCTAAGGATTTAGAAAAATGTTTTCATGTTTGAACAATATTTTATATTAGTGTAGCAAATATATTATCAGTACTCACCGAATAAATATTCTTTATTTCAAATATTCTCAAGTATTGTTCTTTTTTCACTGTAATAACGAATTAGAACGAATGGAATAAATTTATGCAATTGCTCGTCGTAGTTCTCTGGGCTTACCTGACCCGCTAAACTCGACGCGTCGATATACGAATCCTGTTAACAGTAAAAAACGCGAGCCAAAAGTCACGAACCACATACGAGATAGAACCGCACCCTGTAATATTTACGGCTACTTTCCGAAACCGAATGCATCTCAACATTCGAAAATATGACCTCACTTCATGAAATATTATAATTTCGATTTAGTCATGCGCGAAGTGACCCCGCTGACATGTTGTAATTTCGCGCTGCGATAATCATAAAGTTCCCGGGGAACATTACAATCTCCATTTGCAATAATCATGAAGCTTCTCTCGAAATCAAGCAAGTTTGGCTGGAAACGCGGCTGTCCGAATTCAACTTCTCCGATCGTTACTGCATACCTGCCACAGGTCGCAGTTTACCCCACAGCCCACGCACATAATTTATCGCGGAGAAACCGGCGAGGGGATGACGGGAGCGCGACCGGAGAGTTGGCAATTCGAAACGGGAGAGAGAGGTTGTACTACTCTCATGTCCCCGCTGTTTGTATTTCTACTGCGGCGAGTGTAGCATAGCCTCGAGCGCCGTTTTCCAAAATTACGACACGATACCGTTACATCCGCTCGAGCGATGTACCGCCGCGGCACGTCAATCGTTATACATTCTCCGCTATAATCGATCGACCTCACTTCCGGTCAAATACATCACTCGTCTAGACGCCACGAAAGCAACCGCCGTGAATCCGCTGCGGTTTTTGATAACGGTTGGCCATGTGTGAAAATTTATGTTTCCCCGAGACTGCACGCCGCCGCAATTGTTTGATTTTTTTCGAGATTCGCGTTGCATTTAGAATATTCGTGTTGTGTCGAACGTGAAATTGTCGAAAGAGTCGATTTTTAATCCACTGCTCTCGAAACGACAATCAGTGTATTTTTCAGGAAATAGCTATGCTTAAAAACGGCGGTTCAGTTGCAAGTATAGCGCACTGCGATCGAAAATCTCGCTGATTGGATCAGTTAACAGCGGCGACTGTTTCCATTATTGATGCATTTTGCGAGCACAGACAGTGTCATTGCACCCAAATCGCACGCAAGCCGTTGATTCCGTCATCGCAAACGCAGAAATTCGGATTTGGTATAACGAATTTGTTTATCATGGATTTTGCAGTGTCTTGCAGGGGTCTTATTTCCGCTAACTAAAATCAATAAGAAATTAGGCAAAACAGCAAGTGGGGATTTTCACATAAGTTTTCACTGAAAATGTATATTCACTGATTACATCATGTTACAAGATTTTGCACTTTTATCACGGAAGGTCGTTCTTTAGTAAATCGAATGTGCTGGATACGAAAGTAATCACAAAAATTGTTCATTATGTCAGGTTTCCGAGAAAATAGGGACTTAAATACATTTTAGCCAATTTCACAAATTCGTAACACATGAACACAGACGTGTCAGCAATTTCGAACGATGCTTGAAATTTATGCTTGTATCTTCGTCTTCATTTTATAAAGTAGGAAATTTAAAGTGCAATTTTGTAGAAGCCATCCTCGCAGGAGGATGAAGCAGCGTCGCAAATTTGTACAATAAAATAGCAGAATTGTATCTCATTCTCAACAAATTTCTGGGTATATAGAATTAGCGATCACGAAAACTCCTCCGTTAAGGTCCATTGTACCAATCCACAATAAAAATGTAATTTAAAATCCCATTCTGCAGGATGCAGAATTTTTTTTATTTAGTTCTAGTTTATTTTCGCAATTTCAACCCCTTCTAAAGGTAATACGTGCAACATGAATGAATGGAGTATATTTTTTTCTAAAATTTTTTATTGACCCCAGAATTTGTCCCACACAGAAATTTACTCAGAAATCTGTTGGGCATGACTTACAATTTAGTTATCTCGTGACAATGCTTCTTGGCTATCTCGTGACAATGCTTCATCGTCTGTAAGGTTAGCTTTTACGAAGTTGTACTTGTTTCCGACCTTTTAAAACAAAGATAAACATCCAAGCTTCAATTTCAGACCTTTTCTTTGCTAGTACGCCTGGTTTGTGCCAATTTGTAAAAATGGCCAGAAACGCGTTTTTTAGATTTTAAACCCCATTATTCACGGAAACTTGACACGATGGACACATTGAGGTCACATTCGTATTCAGCTCATCCGATTTACTAGAGAACGACTCTTCATGACAAAAATATAAGAAATTGATCATTTCAAATTGAAAATTTGTAACATAGCGTTATCGGCGAACTAGTCCTTTTATTGACTCAATCAGAAACATTGATCAAATTTGTGCTGATTCACTTTAAAAGAACGAATCTCTCAAATACATTTTTTAAAACTCGTCAATATTAAATTTTCGATGAATATTCCTTTGTACGCATTACTTTTTGCCATTTAAAGAATTAAGTATTTGGAAATCTGCACTTTGAAAGCTTGATTAAAGTCTGAAACATCATATATTCAAAATATCAGCGTCAAGTAAATATCAAGTATCAGGAATCAGTTATTAAATGTTTGAAAGCACCTGATTCCTGCATTTAGCAATTTCTCTAACTATGCAAATCTTTCTCTTTCTTTCTCTCTCTCTCTCTCTCTCTCTCTCTCTCTCTCTCTCTCTCTCTCTCTCTCTTTCTCTTTCTATATTGAGAAAAATTATCTGATAAAAAATTAACGAATGCATATTTCCGATCAAAATACCGATGAATTTTTGTATCCGATCAGGAAACATCCTATAAGAAATATCGGTTCATAATTTTTTGACTAGTTTATCTGATGAAATGTCATCAGAAGTATTTGATAAAATTTAATTGGATATCCTGATTGGATATAGAAATTGATCGGAATTTTATCGTAAATATTTGTTTGTTGATTTTTTATCGGATAATTTTTCTCAGTATACAATTCAAAGCTACATTATTGATAATTTGCACCTTAGTCAAGACCCATTGCTAAAAGGACTGTCATTTCCGTTCATTACAGTTTACATTTAATGCTACGCATAATTCCCGAGTTGCCTCTCGTGTATGCATATTGTTGTATCCCGAGGCATTCCGTAGAGATTCCTCGCACTCGTGGCTCGTCACGGGTATCGCGCGCATTCCTCTCACAAAAGTCGTTACATCGTTACGCCCTCGCATTCAGCTTCGCGTATTCCCCCTTTTTCCCCGTGTGTACCGCGTTTCCCTCCGGCCATTTACGTTTACTCATAGTTGAGTTGCGCGCCCGGGCGTGCCAACTCAACGATACGCGCCAGCTACATTCGTTTCTCCGGATCTTTGGATTTTCTCCCACCCGCCCCTCCTCGGTTTTTGGCTGTCGAAACTTTCAGTCCTTCTCGCGCAATTCTTCCCGAGCCGGGAACTTCTCCCAGAGCTTCTTCTTTCGCAACGCTCGAAGCTCCTCTGTGTTTTTCAAACACACCTCATTGGACTTTCGTTTTTCTTTTCTTTTTTCGAGAGGGTGCTTTTTGCGCGGCGGGTTCTCTCCTCCGAATATTTATCCTCATCGATTACTTTATTCGTGGTGTTGTAACGCCGGACCTTTGACCTATAGAATTCGAAATAATTTCAGCTTTAGATCGTGCACAATTGGAATGCGATCTAGCTGTAACATAATATAACCCCGACGTAATCCAACCCCGGGCGTGGTTATGAATCAGCAGCTTGTTTCCCTAGGATCGCCCTGCTTGCCGCGCGCTATCGCGATCAAAAACGGCGTATCGATTTGTCGCCGACTAGATTACTAGCTCGCACCCCGCTAAATCGGGACGTAATGATTTTTTATCGCGCCGCCCGCTGGCTCCAGATTCCGACAATTATATCTCAAAATGCCTCATCGAAACGTATGAAATATCGCGCGGATACCATAGCGGCGGCGATCAATGGCCCCGTGGCAAAAGGCACCGCGATATATCACGCAAAATATGTTAAACCATCGTATGCCACGTATTGTGTCCATGCTCCATTCATCAGGAATGACCGCGGTGAAAAATTCCAAAACGTAAATCCCGACCGACTATTATCATTTACCGCATCGTGACCCGGACGTGCCCGCGATTCCGAAATTTTGCCCCGCGCGATATTGTCCCCTTGGAATCGCGCGTTATCGATTGTGCCCGAAACCGCATTAATGCGGACAGCACTTTGTTAAGCTGAAACAAATGTATCACAGAGATCCGCGCACAAATCCAGAAATAATAATCTCCCCCGCAAAGGTGCGAGACACTTTTTCCCCCGAAAGTTGTTTGAACGCAGCGACATTATTCTGCCCACAAGCGCGCGCGCGTGACGCCCGGCATCTTGAACGACCGATTCAATTACTACGAGCACGTAACGTGATATTGAAAATGCAATTTTCCCTAAATAGATCGCGCACAAAAGCGCCAGTCGGTGAATGCCGAATTTACAGTACAATACGCGAGATACACAGCTATTCTGAAGTT